TATCCTTCAGGCTCCACCAAGGCTCCTCGGACTGTCCATTTCCACCGCTTCAATTATTGATTTTCATGTTCATGGGACCACCAGAGTCTGGCATCCATCTGTGAGGGACGGTGCCCCTGCTCCTTCAGGCAGGTCGCCTCCTCCTCCCTCACTTTGTCTTCCTAACCAAGACTTTCACTGCATCAGCCACTTTCCTTCCTAGCGAGGACTTCACTGCTCCACCCACTTTCCTTCTGACTTAGCCTACTCTACTCTCAACTTTCTTTTGAATAAAATCTTCTTCTCGACTATAGAGGGCATACATATACTTGCTTGATACCTGGTTGATGGGGTTCTGGGAGTTCTTCTACTCCCCAAGCCCGGCCCGAGGCCAGACTTGACTTGTGAGAGTTTGGTCCACCAGGCTGTTTGTTACTTGGAGCGGCCCGCAGGCCCACATACCCACCACAGCCCGGTTGGTCCGGCACATATGAAGCGATGTGGAGCGGTGTTAACACATGGGCACACTAGGACAATAGCCCAGGGGGCCACACTATTCTAGCCCCCCCCCATGGTACCATAGTTCACACCATGAGCGCCCTAGCTTCCCCTCACCACTTCCAATCCTTTACTTTAGTCCACATTCGCTCCCCGCAACCTTCACTCGCACACCTCAACAAAACTTTCAACTGACCTACACACATGTCTTAATAAGTATCTGCCACAAGACGACGTCACCTGGATACAACAAATTATATAGACCTCACTCCTACCTTACACTACATTAACACCAGTATTATTACAAGGGCGTCTCTCGAGGCCAGACGTCACGTCTCTAATATGTAGCAGGTTTCTGTGGCGAGTGACATGCAAACTGTCAAACTTCCTACAATGATAATAATGAGACTTCAGTATTTTTAGTCAATCCCGCAATACCTCGCTACATAGATGGCTGACTTGCATGTATCCCCATACCTGGTTGATGGGGTTCTGGGAGTGCTTCTACTCCCCCAAGCTTGGCGCGAGGCCAGGCTTGACTTGCGAGAGCTTGGTCCACCAGGCTGTTGCTTGTAAGTCTAGGGTTCACGGCATGAGCCCCATGCAAGGCTCAAGGTATGAAGGCTCAGGGAAGCCGCTCCAACGCTCGTCTCGTCACACCAAGCTAACCAACACTTTTTTAAGGTGGTTACAATGTTACATAGAACTAACAATAGTGTAAATATCGTGGGTTACGTTGTGTGTGTTTCCTGGGATGTTTATTCATCAAACTTGTGTTGAGACAGTTAGATCTGTTGTCTACGTAAACGTGTGGGGGGGGAGAGAGAGAGAGAGAGAGAGAGAGAGAGAGAGAGAGAGAGAGAGAGAGAGAGAGAGAGAGAGAGAGAGAGAGAGAGAGAGAGAGAGAGAGAGAGAGAGAGAGAGAGAGAGAGGAGACACACACACACACACTAAGCGAGGAGGTAGGGTGTGTGGTGGGGAGCCACCAGGGGCTGGCAACCCGACACACTCAACACTCCTCCACAACACTTGCACTCAACACACGCCTACACCAAAGTTGGAACACCGCAACGCTCAACTCCGCACCACACTGTTTACAATGACCAAAGTGGTCACGTTGGTACACAGTGGCGGCCCAGGCCACCACCGCCCGGCACGCCCGGCCTGGGCTTGACCAGACGGGCTTCAACGCCCCACCCACCTCGCATCTCCCGCCATCATCTGGTTGATACATGGTTGATACCTGGTTGATACCTGGTTGATGGGGTTCTGAGAGAGTTCTTCTACTGCCCAAGCCCGGCCCGAGGCCAGGCTTGACTTGTGAGAGTTTGGTCCACCAGGCTGTTGCTTGGAGCGGCCCGCAGGCCCACATACCCACCACAGCCCGGTTGGTCCGGCACTCCTTGGATCTCCCGCACTTGATGAATTCCCCAGCGCGGCCATTAAACCCCCACCACACCACTCCGACTTGTTTAATCTAATATTATCATCATACAACAACAACAATTAACTGGAGAACACTTGAGCTACTTGAGACGAAGCCACAATTGGCTATACATGACGTGAACAGTAACAGCGTGGTTGGAAATTACACACCGAACTCACAAGTATGAAAATGAGGCAATGATAAAGTTTCGGTCTGCCTCGGACCATTATTATCATCATCGCCACTTCTTAATGGTCCAAGAGGGAGTGAAACGTCCTCACTTGGTCTCTCACATGCGTGGCTTGGGTCTCCATACATTATATCACCTAAGGCGGTCAATTGTAAACATTTGTGTTTATAATTTAGACCACTTTGCCGCTTTTTAATATTTTTATCTGCGTGTTGTTGGTTCCGGGAATAACGTCCAGGCGGCCCGGTCACTGGCCTGGCCTCTGGCATGGTGGCTGGTCAACCTGGCTGTTGCAGGCTGCTCGTGAATCACAGCCTAGTTATTCAGATATCCTTTGGTGTTGATTATTTTAAGTTCTCTCTTGAACACAGTTGTAATTTGTACTGTTTTGCGGTTACTGTTTTAGTACGACTGTTGCGCTTACTGCTACGGTGAAGTACTAATATATATCACACTTATATGGTAAGTAAAGTGTTTTATATTTTGTTTAAAATGTTAGTATGATTTACAGTGTTGTAAGAAGTGTAAGAATTACAGCCATTTCTGTACTCCCGGTTGCAAATATTGCCAGTGATCCTGATTCTTTAGTTTATTCCTTGGGGCATCTGTGGGAGTCTACACCCACATCTGTGGGAGTCTACACCCACATCTGTGGGAGTCTACACAAACATCTGAGGGAGTCTACACCCACATCTGTGGGAGTCTACACAAACATCTGAGGGAGTCTACACCCACATCTGTGGGGGTCTACACCCGCCGTTCCTGTAGACCTGACCTAATATAAACCTTCCTACCAGGATCATTCCCACACCTAGCGCCTTGGGGCTTCACTCAACACAGGCTATTACATCACAAATGTTTAAGAATATATAAATGATCGTATCCATAACGCCATTACCTCGACAACTGGCGAAATATCCTAACTACTGTAACTCATTACAGCTGTAACTCGCTTGGCTACCAGGATGTTAAATTCCAGCTCCTGGCCACACATGTCTTCCCCCCCCCCCCCTCCAACAGTTCCACAACCCCCTCCCCAGCGGTGCACTCCCCAGTCATATATTACGAATATAACAAAATATAATGAACACAAGAGGCATTAAATACAGGAAGATGTGAAGGCTGGCCGTGGTGTGGGTCATCAGCCGAGGCAGAGGTGGGAGCGTGCATGCTCACACCTGCTACAACCTCAGCATGTCTTGTCAACACCTGGAGCATACTTGGAGCATACCTGGAGCATTCCTGGAGCATACTTGGAGCATTCCTGGAGCATACTTGGAGCATACCTGGAGCATACCTAGAGCATTCCAACCGGAGTACATAAAATATATGGGCCTACGGGCAGCTCCAAGCAACGGCCTGTTGGACCAAGTTATCACAAGTCAAGCCTGGCCCTCAGGCCGGGCTTGGGGAGTAGAACAACTCCCAGAACCCACTTTAAGTATACTCCAGGTATACCCCCGTTATCATCAGGCCCCAGAACCCACTCCAGAGATATATACCCCCGTCCACACTGCCTTCCTTCCCCCCCCCCCCCATGTTGGCTCCAGCGGGCATGCGTGCGCGCGCGCGGCATACACAACGACCTCAACAACAGATTACTTTCCCTATTTTCAGATACTCTTGTAGCACCACCCGGAAAGCTTTATATAGTATATACGATAATATATAGGCCTACAGGCCTACAAAACGCAGCCTAACGAAAGCGCTAAGGTCAACTTAGCGCCTTTGTTAGGCTACGTAAATATTATGCGCTTTGGTAAACTAATTCAGCATGAAAATGGCTTTTCATGCTGAATTAGCAGCATGAAAAGCTATTTTCGACACTCACGCAGAGTCTATTTGAAGAAACATCACCATGAAAGAATATTCTTTTGATAACCTACTTGCACTACGGGTCATGACGTCACAGCTATTTACGCTACCTGTCCTCAATTTTGGTGGCTTAGGCTCCTCTACATTAACCATTAAACAGTTTACTACCTTCGAAGTCCTGCCAGGTACATTATAAACACCTTGGGTATGTTATGCTCCGATTCTCACCCACTTTAACAAATACATTCAGAGCCGCCATAATGGAGGCAAGATGTACAGGTGTCGCAGGAGGAGAGAGGACACGTGAATCCTGACAGACTGGCCCCGGTGTGGAGGGTCCTGCATTCAAGGAGGCAGCCAGTATGCATAAGGAAACACAGGTACAATAGGGCCCCATAACAGCAGTGGATGAGGCATGTGTTACAACTCTCACTTCCATCGTCGCCTCACATCACAGTCTTCTCCTCATCTCCTCTCTCTCTCGCTGAATATTTTCTCACGTGCACTGTACACAGCGCGGTAAGCGAGCCTAAACTTCTCCCCTTTTATCACCTGGATTCGTTCACTTGTGTGTGTGATTGGACACGAGTCACTGTGACAATTTTTAAACAGTTATAATTTTAAAAGAAAACAAAAATCGTTGTTGTTTTTTTTGGGGGGGTCGTTATTTATTGGTTACCACGTTATTTTGTCAGTCATTAGAGTTGATGTTGGTTGTGGAGGGTGGCCACCTGAGCGCCAGACTGCGGCACCACAGTGCGGCGCCACCACATTGTCACCCACCACATCTTCACAGAAAACGAAAATACCACACCACTTGATATATCAGGGGTAACTTAACCGACATTTTCTCACACTAAATCACATAACAAGCTCACTGAAAGTTACGAGCATGGACTCTCTGTTTATAGTTTCTAAATGTGCATACATAACCAGACGGACCGTAACGGGTGAATGAGTGTTTCAGTTTCCTGGTGGCCAATACACAGCCTCGTTAGTCCCTCTCTACGGCTCGTAATTATCACAAGATATATCTTTACCCCCATGCGTCATGGCCGACAATCCTCCACACAAACATTCAGCTTCGCTTACAGTCACTTTCTAGGCCCTCATTCCTGGTACCAAAGACAAAGACAGTGGGAAAACCACGATTTCAGTCCGGATATCGCGGTCCCCGCCGCACCGTACTCCGCTCTGGACCGCCGCTCAACAATCAATATGGTGGCTGGGATCCAGCTGCCTCTTATACGGTGGGACACGCAGGCGGCCTGGAGGAGAGAGAGGGAGAGAGAGAGACAGAGAGAGAGAGGGGAGGGAGTCACGCGACCTGGGGCAGTGGACGGCACCCGGCGCCGCCAGCCCTCCCACACCAAGGGGACACAGATGAATGCGGGCGGGAGAGTTGGTTGTGTGTCGTGGCCCTCCAGAGTTGTCCCAGTACCGGAGACCAGACCTACCCTCCGTCCCCCCCGTCCCGAGGGGGCACTTAATGCAAGAAAATACTTTAAAAAGTTATCAAAATGTAAAGTGGGAAGTGAGAGGTGCGAAGCGTGAGGCAGGGAGAGAGCTTGACAGCTTAAGAGTGAGGCAGGGAGAGAGCTTGACAGCTTAAGAGTGAGGCAGGGAGAGAGCTTGACAGCTTAAGAGTGAGGCAGGGAGAGCGCTTGACAGCTTAAGAGTGAGGCAGGGAGAGAGCTTGACAGCTTAAGAGTGAGGCAGGGAGAGAGCTTGACAGCTTAAGAGTGAGGCAGGGAGAGAGCTTGACAGCTTAAGAGTGAGGCAGGGAGAGAGCTTGAGAGTGAGGCAGGGAGAGCGCTTGACAGCTTGAGAGTGAGGCAGGGAGAGCGCTTGACAGCTTGAGAGTGAGGCAGGGAGAGCGCTTGACAGCTTGAGAGTGAGGCAGGGAGAGCGCTTGACAGCTTGAGAGTGAGGCAGGGAGAGCGCTTGACAGCTTGAGAGTGAGGCAGGGAGAGCGCTTGACAGCTTGAGAGTGAGGCAGGGAGAGCGCTTGACAGCTTGAGAGTGAGGCAGGGAGAGCGCTTGACAGCTTGAGAGTAAGGCAGGGAGTGCGCTTGACAGCTTGAGAGTAAGGCAGGGAGAGAGCTTGACAGCTTGAGAGTAAGGCAGGGAGAGCGCTTGACAGCTTGAGAGTAAGGCAGGGAGTGCGCTTGACAGCTTGAGAGTAAGGCAGGGAGAGAGCTTGACAGTTTGAGAGTAAGGCAGGGAGTGCGCTTGACAGCTTGAGAGTAAGGCAGGGAGAGAGCTTGACAGCTTGAGAGTAAGGCAGGGAGAGCGCTTGACAGCTTGAGAGTAAGACAGGGAGTGCGCTTGACAGCTTAAGAGTGAGGCAGGCAGAGAGCTTGACAACATAAAGAGTGAGACAGGTAAGAAGAGCTAAGTTATTGGAAGAATTTACCTCAGTTCCCGGAAGACGATAGTGGCGGTCTTCACGGTATCAAAGGCTAGAGTGAAGTGTGTGAAGGAGGAGGCTACTAACGTCAACACGCCCGCCATAAACACGGTGTCCCGCCCTGCTGAGGACGACCACCCAGGCTCCTGCGCTGCTGAGGACGACCCCCCCAGGCTCCCGCGCTGCTGAGGACGACCCCCCCAGGCTCCCGCGCTGCTGAGGACGACCCCCCCAGGCTCCCGCGCTGCTGAGGACGACCCCCCCAGGCTCCCGCGCTGCTGAGGACGACCCCCCAGGCTCCCGCGCTGCTGAGGACGACCCCCCCAGGCTCCCGCGCTGCTGAGGACGACCCCCTCAGGCTCCCGCGCTGCTGAGGACGACCCCCCAGGCTCCCGCGCTGCTGAGGACGACCACCCAGGCTCCCGCGCTGCTGAGGACGACCCCCCAGGCTCCCGCGCTGCTGAGGACGACCCCCCAGGCTCCCGCGCTGCTGAGGACGACCAACCAGGCTCCCGCGCTGCTGAGGACGACCCCCCAGGCTCCCGCGCTGCTGAGGACGACCCCCCCAGGCTCCCGCGCTGCTGAGGACGACCCCCCCCAGGCTCCCGCGCTGCTGAGGACGACCACCCAGGCTCCCGCGCTGCTGAGGACGACCCCCCCAGGCTCCCGCGCTGCTGAGGACGACCCCCCCAGGCTCCCGCACTGCTGAGGACGACCCCCCAGGCTCCCGCGCTGCTGAGGACGACCCCCCAGGCTCCCGCGCTGCTGAGGACGACCCCCCAGGCTCCCGCGCTGCTGAGGACGACCCCCCAGGCTCCCGCGCTGCTGAGGACGACCACCCAGGCTCCCGCGCTGCTGAGGACGACCCCCCAGGCTCCCGCACTGCTGAGGACGACCCCCAGGCTCCCGCGCTGCTGAGGACGACCCCCCAGGCTCCCGCGCTGCTGAGGACGACCCCCCCAGGCTCCCGCGCTGCTGAGGACGACCACCCAGGCTCTCGCACGGCTGAGGACGACCCCCCAGGCTCCCGCGCTGCTGAGGACGACCCCTCAGGCTCCCGCGCTGCTGAGGACGACCCCCCCAGGCTCCCGCGCTGCTGAGGACGACCACCCAGGCTCCCGCGCTGCTGAGGACGACCCCGCAGGCTTCCGCGCTGCTGAGGACGACCACCCAGGCTCCCGCGCTGCTGAGGACGACCCCCCAGGCTCCCGCGCTGCTGAGGACGACCTCCAGGCCCGTTGGCATGAGGTACCTGGAGCTTTGCAATTACTTTATTCACTCTCGTATTCTTAAAGATAGCCTCATATTGCACCCAAAATTTGCCAGTGCAGGCTACCGAACATATGGCCCTGTATGACTAACCAAAAAGTGTATTATGGCGTGAGTACCTCTTGTACTCACGCCATAATACACTTCAGTACTACATACAGTATACACCTGTAATACTACATACAGTACACACCTGTAATACTACATACAGTACACACCTGTAATACTACATACAGTACACACCTGTAATACTACATACAGTACACACCTGTAATACTACATACAGTACACACCTGTAATACTACATACAGTACACACCTGTAATACTACATACAGTATACACCTGTAATACTACATACAGTACACACCTGTAATACTACATACAGTATACACCTGTAATACTACATACAGTATACACCTGTAATACTACATACAGTATACACCTGTAATACTACATACAGTATACACCTGTAATACTACATACAGTATACACCTGTAATACTACATGCAGTATACACCTGTAATACTACATGCAGTATACACCTGTAATACTACACCATAATACATCACTAACTAGGGACGCGCCTTCTAATATCTAGGTAGTCAACAGGTCTTAGACTACACATTGCTTTTAACAGTGATAGTGCTATGTGTAGAAGGTAGAATGTGTAGAATGTGCTATGAGAGAGAGAGAGATAGTGAGAGACATGAGGGGGGGGGAGAGAAACCTCCCTCCCTCCCTCATCTCTCCTCACACTCACTCCTACAACATGTGTTGGAAGAAGACACCAGAGAAGGAGAAGGGGATATACAGAACCTATTAGACCTGATCATCATTCAGAACAGGGAAGAGGTTGAGAACTTGAGATCCATCATTGAGTATGCTGCCCCGGCATGGAACCCCAACCTTAAGAAACACAAAACAAAACTTATAAAAAGTCCGATAATATGCAACATGGCTCGTTCCTGAGCTACGAAGAAAGACTGAGGGAACTGGACCTCACTACACTGGAGGAAAGAAGGTAAGGGGAGACATGATTACGACATACAAGTTACTAAGGGAGATTGACAAAGTAGATATTGAAGCAATGTTCATATGAAGGGAAAAATAAAATCAAAGGTCATAACTGGAAATTGGAAACACATATGACTCACAGGGGTATCAGAAAGGAGTTTTGTAAGTCTTAAAGTCTTAAGAGGAGCGAACTACATGAGGAAGTTGTTGAAACCAATTCGATACACATTTTTAAATGTACATATGATAAGAAAAACAAAGAAAATGAGCCACTGTATTGAACTAATGAGGGGGCAAAAGGCGGGGCTTAAGAGCATGTGCTCGACCCTGCAAGCTCAACTAGGTGAGTACAACACTCACCCAGCGACTTTGCCATGACCAACTTTAATATAACTTAGACAAGTCCCATACAGAACCTTTTGTTCGGTAAGAGCCTGTATAGCCAAGGGTTGTGGCCCTCGCTACCAGCAAGTCGACGCTCCACCACAGTAGTGCCAGTAGAGGCACCACAGTAGTGCCAGGAGCACACAGTAGTTCCAGGAGAGGCACCACACAGTAGTGCCAGTAGAGGCACCACAGTAGTGCCAGGAGCACACAGTAGTGCCAGGAGAGGCACCACACAGTAGTGCCAGTAGAGGCACCACAGTAGTGCCAGGAGCACACAGTAGTGCCAGGAGAGGCACCACACAGTAGTGCCAGTAGAGGCACCACAGTAGTGCCAGGAGCACACAGTAGTGCCAGGAGAGGCACCACACAGTAGTGCCAGTAGAGGCACCACAGTAGTGCCAGGAGCACACAGTAGTGCCAGGAGAGGCACCACACAGTAGTGCCAGGAGCACACAGTAGTGCCAGGAGAGGCACCACACAGTAGTGCCAGGAGCACACAGTAGTGCCAGTAGAGGCACCACAGTAGTGCCAGGAGCACACAGTAGTGCCAGGAGAGGCACCACACAGTAGTGCCAGTAGAGGCACCACAGTAGTGCCAGGAGCACACAGTAGTGCCAGTAGAGGCACCACAGTAGTGCCAGTAGAGGCACCACAGTAGTGCCAGGAGCACACAGTAGTGCCAGGAGAGGCACCACAGTAGTGCCAGGAGCACACAGTAGTGCCAGTAGAGGCACCACAGTAGTGCCAGGAGCACACAGTAGTGCCAGGAGAGGCACCACACAGTAGTGCCAGGAGAGGCACCACACAGTAGTGCCAGGAGAGGCACCACACAGTAGTGCCAGTAGAGGCACCACAGTAGTGCCAGGAGCACACAGTAGTGCCAGGAGAGGCACCACACAGTAGTGGTGCCAGGAGAGGCACCACACAGTAGTGCCAGGAGAGGCACCACACAGTAGTGCCAGGAGAGGCACCACACAGTAGTGCCAGTAGAGGCACCACAGTAGTGCCTGGAGCACACAGTAGTGCCAGGAGCACACAGTAGTGCCAGTAGAGGCACCACAGTAGTGCCAGGAGCACACAGTAGTGCCAGGAGCACACAGTAGTGCCAGGAGCACACAGTAGTGCCAGTAGAGGCACCACAGTAGTGCCAGGAGCACACAGTAGTGCCAGGAGAGGCACCACACAGTAGTGGTGGCAGGAGAGGCAGCACACAGCAGTAGTGGTGGCAGGAGAGGCAGCACACAGCAGTAGTGGTGGCAGGAGAGGCAGCACACAGCAGTAGTGGTGGCAGGAGAGGCAGCACACAGTAGTGGTGGCAGGAGAGGCAGCACACAGCAGTAGTGGTGGCAGGAGAGGCAGCACACAGTAGTGGTGGCAGGAGAGGCACCACACAGCAGTAGTGGTGGCAGGAGAGGCAGCACACAGTAGTGGTGGCAGGAGAGGCAGCACACAGCAGTAGTGGTGGCAGGAGAGGCAGCACACAGCAGTAGTGGT